ATTAACAATAATATCCATGACTTTCATAATAACAATAAAAGTAATAATAATAATAATATCAATAACAATAACAATAACAACAATAATAATAATAATAATAATAATATATAATAATAATAATAATAATAAAACAACAATAATTATAAATAATAATAATAATAATAATAATAATAATAATAATAATAATAATAATAATAATAATAACAATAATAATAACAATAACAAAAACAATAATATCCAAAACATTCATAATAATAATATCCATAATATTCATAATAATAATAATAACAACAATAACAATAACAATAATAATAATAATAATAATAATAATAATAATAATAATAATAACAACAATAACAATAATATTATTATCATTATTATTATTATTATTATTATTATTATTATTAACAACAACAACAACAACAACAACAACAAAAACAACAATAATAAGAATATTAATAATATCAATAATAATAATGACTATAATAAATAATAAAAAATAAATAATAATAACAATAACAATAATAATAGTAATAACAATCATAATAATAACAAAATAATAATAATAATAATAATAATAACAACGATAATTATAACAGTAATGTCCATAATAATGATGATCTTAGCAATAATGATAGTAATCCTGATAGTAATAGTAATTAGTAGTAGTAGTACTATTACTGCTACTAATAATAATGATAATAATAATAAGAAGAAAAACATTCGATGATGATGATGATGATGATGATGATGATGATGATGATGATGATGATGATGATGATGATGATGATGATGATGATGATGATGATGATGATGATGATGATGATGATGATGATGATGATGATGATGATGATGATGATGATGATGATGATGACGACGACGACGACAACAACGATAATACCAATAATAATAAAAAACAATAATAATGATAATAACATTAACAACAATAACAGCAAAAATAGCAATAACACCATCAACAACAATAATAACAATAATAATAACAATAACAACAATAACAGCAAAAATAGCAATAACAATGACAACAATGATACTACTACTAACAATAACTATAACAACAACAAGAATAACAATTAGCATTAAGAATAACAAAAATGATATTGACAATAAAAATAAAGTCAGTAATGACAAATACAATAAAATCAATATTAAAGTCAGTACCGACCCTTACAATAAAATAAATAACAAAGGCAATAATGAAAACAAACTTAAAGACCTGTTTGAAGGATTTTGCATACATGAGTCATAGCTTAGAAATATATTTCCTTTCCTTTATATGTGGCATTATGGAGCCATAAACAGTTCATGTAATGCACAGTGCTTGCAGCAAGTTCTCTGCATGACACTTTTATAGTAGTAGTATTAATAGTAATAGTAATAGCAATAGTAATAGTAATAGTAATAACAATAACAATAATCATCATCATCATCAATCATCATAATTGTAAAAACAATTATAATAATAGCAAAAATCTATACTATTAGTTCTACTACTACTACAACTAATTATAATACTAATAATAATAATAATAATAATAATAATAATAATAACAATAATAACTGTAATACCAGTAATACTGCTACTACTAACAATAATGTACTACTCATAATATCAATAACAACAATAACAATAATACTAATAATAATAATAATAATAATAATAATAATAATAATTATAGCAATCACCATAATAATGATGATAATGATGATTATGGTAGTAATAGTAATGATGACAGTAATAGTAGTAGTACCACTACAATATCAAAAACAACAGCAGCAATATAGAGTAATAATAATAATAACAATAATAATAATAATAATAATACCAAAAATAACAATAACTATAATGATAATAACAATAACAATAATAATACGAAAGACAATTATGACAAAGACAATAAAATCTATAACAGAGATGATAATGAAAACAACTTATAAGATCTGTTTGAAGGATTCTGCATACATGAGTCATAACTTATATATATATATATTTCCTTTCCTTCATATGTAGCATTATGAAGCCATAAACAGTTCATGCAGCGTACAGTGTTTGCAGCAAGTTCTCTGCATGACACTTTTATGCATTATCTCCCTTTCTTTGTTTTTACAAAATCAGATAATCTACATTTCATATGAAGAATGATTAACCTAGATTTTTTAAATATCTAACCCATAAGGATTTCTGAATCATTTGAAGATGTATTTTTCAAGGGTAGTCTTACAATGTAAGACAATGAAGATTTCATAGTATACAGTATATAGCATAGATTGATTGAGAATACAAAAAAAAAAAAAAAAAAAAAAATCATATATGGCATTTTTGTCTTAAACTAAAATAAACACCTTACGAAACTCAAATACTTTTAACATTTATTCTAACCTTTTCCTTCACTGATAAATAATTGATAATCATCTGATAAAAAATACTGGGTACTCAATCATTCTATAACTTCTATATCATAAAGATACAATATTATTATTATTATTATTATTATTATTATTATTATTATTATTATTATTATTATATTAAGCTATATAATGAGCCACACTGAAAAAATTGAGATTTATACCACCAAAGGTGTCAGTGCAGGTCAAGATACAGCTAAGAAAGAATGAATAAAAGAAAGTCAGCTAATTACGTAAGAAAAACATGTTAGCTGACGTTTTAAATTTATATAACATATATAAATATATAAATATTAAATTTATATAACATATACAAATTTATATAACATATATAATATATATAACATAAAATATAACATATACAATACAACATACATACATGATAATCCATGCAGGTAGTTTATTGCCAATTAAGGATCCTACCACAATAGATATTCTTTGCCATAGTGCCATTATTTGAAGAAGAACTGTGATTGCTATACACACATCCAAAAGAGTATATTGTAGCAAAACCATGTTTTACTACTTCTTTTTTTTTTCTTCTTTTCTTTTCTTGAATTTGGCATATGATTTGTGTTCCCAAAACCTTGATTCCACCTCCTGTCTGCTGGATGAAGGGGAATGTTGCCAACATGTGAAATTTAAGTTTCTAATGAAAATAAATATCAAATATCTTGTAGACAGGGAATGAATGAAAAAAGGATATATTCACAATACAAGAGATGTATCTGACGTTTCAATTACATCATTTTCAGAAATACATGAAACTGGTCAAATACATCTATTGTATTGTGAAGTTATCCATTCCCATTCATATCTTTACTACATTTGTCAACATGAATAGTTCATCAAAATTCTTGTAATCACATCAAAAATTATAACATAGTATGAATCTTATCTGTCAAAGTCACTCTTATCATACACAAAATAATACACTGAAATTATTAATACTGTCCTGAACAATTATTCTTATAAGTATTATCAAGATGTACTCGCCAGAGCCGAAGTCCGTAACTCCACATCACAAAATTTATGAAACAATCTAAGTTGCCGTGCCTGGGTGTACCCTTTGGGCACTGCCTGAAGGGAGGGTAGATGGGGGTCTCTCTATCCCAACACTTTTTGGGAACCTTTGTCTTCACCTCAGTATCTACAGCAAGATAGAACTAACACTAAGGAGGGCCGAGCGCACTTAGACTGTGCGTGGCACTTTCTGCAATCTTTTGCTTTTGTGGCTTTAATATTCCTGTCTGCAGATTATTTCTTGTATCAACAACATTTTAGTCCTCTACAAAAGTATAGATATATCAAATTTATGCCATGGAATTCCCCTCATTAGTGAAAAGCTTGGCCCAGATAGCAGGGGAGGGCATGAAAAGAACCAGGGGAATTGCAGGGTAAAATATGAATAATATACACAGAATCAGTCACTATATTGTCTGAAGAAGGGGGTAATCCCAGTAATAGAAGACGAAGAATCCTATACATATTCATGGCTGGGTAGAGTGTATGACTGACATGCTAGAGCACCACATATCTAGTCTGTCTGACTCTATCCTGCCATTAAACCAAGGATTCTTTGTTTTCCTAGGCAGAGATTTGGGGGTGGCAGCTCCCCATTCAACAGTATTATCTTCACTATGTTAATATATCATTGTTAGTTTCCCCACAATTGCTCTTGTACATTTCATACCCTCTCCTGCCATTAGGGCCAAGAATGTTAGGGTTTGGGGAAGTTCTGCAGCATAATTTCTACGATTATGTACTAGAGCGCAAGAGGAAATCCATCAATATCAAAATTGTTGTGATTGGTTATGTGAAGGGATTGTGAAAAAATTACAGGAGAATTATACTGCTTATTAAGCAAGATAATATCACTGGTTAATGTTGTTTTCAGTGATGCAAAGACCTAGAGGGTTATGGACATTGCCATCTTAGAGAGCATAAGAAATTGAGTAATGAGTTGTCTGCAAAATGACAAAAATATCTACTGCATATCACCAATCAGAGACTAAGGGCAGAACACCCTCACATATCCATATCAATAATGTTGCACTTTCTATAAGTCCACTTTTTAAAAGTTGGCACAAAGTACTCATAAAAGGGGGTTACAAGGGTTTTTTTTTTCCTCCACTCTAAGGAAGAAATAGAACGTAATAAAGGTTTGGATTTTTAGGTTTGCATGATACCCCAATGTTTAGGTATGTGTGAATATATAAAAAATCTACATATATAAATCTGGTTTTCTGATTTTGTCTCTGGAGGGAGCATTGCTGTTATCAACAAATAACAAATTGTTATCCCAATTAGAATCCATTTACACATTGGTTAGTCTACCATTACAATGCAGGTTATGCATAAGATATTGATACTCGTGAACAGTAATCTGAGGTTAATGAGATATACTAAAGAAATTATGATTACACATACATCACAAAGTTAATCAAATATGTAATATAAATAGAACAGAATACACAGCAGAAAACAGTTTATACTGAATCAGCTTACTACGTATCGAGATAAAGATGTTAATATTCTCATCAAAATTTAAAAAAACAAGACAAAAAGGTTACATA